GGTGGGGTGGGAGGGGGGGGGGATAACCGAGTTCTACAAAGAGCTCCTTTTCCCCAAATGTTTGCTATCATCTAATGATGTAACGAATGTCCACGTCAATCATTGCTAAATGACATTCTATAGTAAGGAATGTTGAGAAAAATTTCAGCCTAAGTTTGCAAACTTGCAGGCAATTATCTAGTCTTTCACTAGTGTGTGAAATCATTACCATCACTGGATAAGCGTCAATAGTTTTCTAAATGATTATGTCTGATGAATCAAGCTACCACGTGACTGCCCTCATCAGTTAAAACCAGTCTATGGATTGGAATGGTCCTATTCCATTTCTCCCATTTCGTTAATGGTAGTCTGACCGTTCTTCCTTGATATACACCCAGTGAAATCCCCTATCTCGAGTGACTTTGGCGAAAATATTGACTCAAATATTTAAGCAGTATGGCAGCTCTTAAATTGGTCTAGAGCGCGGATACCGGCTTTAGAGATCTTTGTACTTCCCAACTTTTACATGTTCTGACCCCTATTTGTCACTTCTTTGTGCCCATTTGAATGATCTGTCAAGAATGCTAATACAATCCACCTATACTCATTAATTTGCAAATATAGATTTGTTTAAATGTGAGGTCTATGCTCATTTAACTAAATTGGAAAGGGAACTGATATCATGGATATTTCAACTAATTACCATGTCGATTGTTTAGGTGGTGTGGGATTTGCCACTCTTACTGCTATTGGTCAAAGTCGTTTGCGCGTTTGTCGCCCCTCCTCTCCCCTCCCCCCCCCCCCCCCCCCCCCCCCCCCCCCAATTTTGACATCGGCTCCTCACTAAAGCCCTTCAAGATCCAATTCCATGATTTTTTATTACCGCGTTCGCAACATGCAGCCAGATTAACACTGCAAGGACACGTGGACAATTATTAATTTAAGTGAGTTACAAGTTCACCCAGCGGTGACGTGTAAAATAGTGGTTTAATCGCTCACAATCCACAAATTGCACATCCAGTGGTTGGACCTAACTCGGTTTAACTTAAATCGATGAAGGAGTGACAAGACCCCAGTTCCTGAAGCCATTGGAGGAATGGCTTCTACCATCTGGAGTTTTTGTTTTGCAACTTAAAGAATTCTTTTGAGGCAAATGCCTGTCCTGTTTTATAGATTGCTGATACCTGATGCCGGTAGTAATAATAATAATATGTAACTGAATCATCAGTTCAGTCTCAGATTACACCTCTGTATAGGTAGGAAAAATTGCCCCATTTTTCCTTCATTAGGGCATATTCTTTATTGGGAAAACCACCTTCCCGGAATGTTCGCAGTGATTTTTTTTAACAAAAAAAGTGGGGCCAGATCATTGAAAGCAGAATTGCATGATTCCTTTTGCTTTTGCCAACGGCGAATCGCGTGAGACTGCCTTGGGCCTTCCGGGAACATCTAAGTTGTTTCTCGAAATCTAAACCACCACCTCTCTTGCCTGCCGTAATAGAATAGTAATATTTCAATGATAATAATAATGTGTTGCCTATTGTCATTACTGCTGTCAGTTATTTAGCTATTTCTCATTGTTATGAGTGTATCATTAACGCATTATTAAACCTGCATTTAGTGTAGGCACATAATTTAATTTGATCTTATTAATTGTCTCTTGGGTGCAGAGTATGACCACCTCGACTACCGCATCGAGCCATCAGCGATCGCGTACTCCAGGGCCAGGAGAAGAACCCCGTCGAGATGGATATCCCGGATTGGGCAGTAGTTCTGACTGCATCTACAGTCTGGGTGAGTCCCTCAATGGGTTGGAGGTCTTCAGGAGCCCATCCCCTATAACAAATAGTGGTGGAGTTTGGACAGCAGGCCTCAAACGATATGGAGGCACAGAATTCGATGCCTACTGTTTACAACAAGGTCTCTCTAGAGGTGAGTTCTCTCTACTTACCAATCACCTAAAGTAGAAGCTGCTCCGCTTGGTAACATTTCATCACGTGAGTGCATGTGACTGAGAGGGAGCAAAAATCAGGTAGAGGCACACTCATTAACTTTCATGCTATCTTTGCTGAACCGATCACTGATGGTTATTAATTTCTATATATTCGATGGTGCCAACTATGATTGGTCGAACGATAGACCAATCATTGATTGGTGATCAATTTTACCACGCCATGACCCTAAATAGGAATAACGTTGAAGTCCCATGGCTGTGGCCTAGAACCTAACTTACACTTTGTTCGGTCGGATATTTATTTGCCTCTATGCCGCCAGCGGAAACATATGAATCGCTATTCCCCTTACATGGTTAAACTTCCTTTTTCAAAAAGGGCGGTATTAATTTTCACGAAATTGAGTTGAAGTGGGAATATCGTTTTCTGTTAAATTTCTTGCTTTTATAACCGACCACTTGGTAGACTAGAACACCTTTTTGTTTGAGTGTGTGTTTCATTTTTAAAGGAAAAAAGCTACCTTTTTATCCCAAGGCCGCAAGGCCATGAACCATTAATTCATTTAATATATTTATTTCAAATGACAGGCTTTATGATATTTTTCATCAGCCCTTAAACTTTGACTTCAGCTTCCCCCAAGGGTGGGGGGGGGGTACATTTATACCAGTTAATTGATAGCAGTTCATTAGCTGTCTTCTTGCTTCCCGGTATCTCTGGGTTTCCGTAGTTGCCTTTAGGGCTGGACACCGAATCAGGTGGGTCTTCTCCATTTCCTCCTGTAGGTTACATAGGTTGCATGTGGGTTGAGTGTATACTCCCAATCTGTGAAGGTGTTTTGCCAAGCAATCGTGTCCGGTACGTAGTCTAAACTCAGCAACGGCTTCAATTCTTGGTCAGTCGGGTATGTCGGAGAGTGCCACTGTCCACTGTTTCTCCTTTGTTCGAGTTTTAAGTTCATTGCACCTTGAGGTCTTGAATTATCTCTTGATTAAGGCCTTCATTGTGTGGAAAGACATCGGCTGGTCCATGCATTGCAAAATCGTTGTCCCTTCTTAGCAAGTGTGTCAGCAAGCTCATTGCCTTTAATGCCACAGTGACCAGGAATCCATTGTAGGACCACTGTTTTGTTTTTCTCTCTCAACAGCTCATAGAGTTTTCTACATTCCTTTATCTCAGCTGTTTTGGGTGGCTCTCTGTTTCCAATTGAGTTTATTGCTGACTGCGAGTCCGAAAGTATCACCGCTTTGGTGAATTTCGTATCCAGGCAACATAATTGGCATAGTGCTATCCTAATGGCCTCTATTTCTCCTTCAAAAGCGGATTTATTGTGTCCCGCTGTTGCGTAGAAAGAGAAGAGTTCGGAATAGACACCTGCACCAACGTTTGCTTGGTTTTCTATGTATGACCCATCAGTGAAGACTTGGAGCCATTGATCTGCAGGATAGTTGACATTGATTGTCTCAAGGGCCAGTGAGCGCATTTGTTCTGGAGGGGTGTTTGATCTCCTGAAGAAGTCAAGCAGTTGGGTGCAACACACTACAATCAAAGAGACCGCTTTTGCTAGTCAACCAGCCCTCAAAGATACCTGAATTTGCGTTTATGAGCTACTTGCTGATTTACGACAAACACACTGCGAGTTATAGCGAGTTAAATGGCGCCTTTATTCAGAGGTGATAACGACAGCGTAGAAAAATTTACTTGACTTGTTATTTTTTGTCGCGTGTGTCACTAGTCCAACCCACATCTAATTACCCACGCGTGTCCGTTTGGAGGCGGGAGGGGGGGGGGGAGGGGGTCCCACATAAAAGTCCACTGCCACAACACCTGACTTTTATATGCGAGGTGCAGGGGGCCCACTTTGACCAACTCGGCATTTCGGCGCTTTGTGCATGTCCTCATGCACACTCGTGTATACGTTTATTGAGGAGCCCTATTCGGTGTGCCTCATCGACAATCCAGTGAGAGTAGATTGCCTGGTAGTATTTAATTGGCACGAATGGAAGGCCCATCCATTTAGCCTTGTGTGAAGTTACAACAAGGTGTGCTAATTTTCGGTAGATACTACTTAATAAAAAGTAGATCTTGGTTGCTTATGCTCTCTTCTTTTCACAAATAATCTGTGATGCAAGTAACTAGATTGAGAATGATCTAGAAGTTATGTTCTACTAATGGTCAGTTGTGTTGTTGAAGACGTCTTTAAGCATTCTGCTCGATGCTGCTTCTCTTCTCAAGTGAAAGTAAATGATTGGACTTCTATTCGATGGTGATTGGCTAGCACCCAGAAACGATAAAATATGATTTCGCTTTTGTTATATCCCATGAAATCACATAATCTCCAATACCTCAGCAAAAAAATATGATAGACTTTCTTCAACAAAATGGATGTATTGTATACAGCTTCTGTTTTGCTTGACAAAAAAACATATCATCGGCACAATTTATCCTCTTTCATAACCACTACAGTGTGTCGGTCGATTTCTGAATCAAATAATTAGACACCACAGTGGGGAGGAACATTAAAGTGAAAAAAAGTCGAGAGGGTGGGGGGAGGGGAACAGAAGAGCGATTAAAAGATGTAAAAGAGACACACAAAGGTAGAGAAAAAGGTGAGGTGAATACTGTGATAGTGGTGGAATATGACATACAGTGGGGTCAAAGGAGTTTGAAGTGGGAAGTCAACTGTCGATTAATGGACTTTTCGCCATGAGAGCATACGCTGCCCAGGGTGCACTTTGAGGAGGTAGGTCTGTCGCACGCCCCTCTTAAGCGAATATAATGACACTTGGAGTCCAGATATCTCAGGCTATCATAGCGGCATTCACGAACAATAGTCATAGGCTGAAATTGAGTCCTTGTTATAAATTTCGATAAGAGCCAGTTACCTCCCTCTTTGTCTTTTCAGACAGCGTCCTTGGAGGACTTCCCCTAAACTCTGACTACGAGTCGCTACCCCGAGATTCTTCAATGGGTGGACCACATCACTTTGGCGAATTCTTTGTCAATCTGCGTCGAGAAGCCAACGGCTTCGGATTCAAACTTCTGGGTGGTTCGGAAGAGGGCACTCAGGTTTGTGCAAGTACTTAAATTTGATTGACTTGGTGGGGATTGCTCAAGTGTGATTGGCTAATTATGGTCCCTTGTATCTGGCTGCTACTGATCGTTTAAAGCTTGTCCTGTTGCTTGATCATGGCGTAGTGATCAACGGGAACATTTGTCGAATCAGAGGTGACAAAACGTATGACTATCAAAGCACACCCAGTGATTTTGATGGCCAAATGCATTGATTAATTCTTATTCCAAAGAAACGTGGTCGGCCTTCTCACCCAAGTCAAGTACTGTAAGAAGTTCTACAGTAAACTCATGTATATATCGAAAGAATAATTAAAATTCCAAGTCCAATTCGCCTTCTGGATATTCCTCCTCGCATTGATTTTTTTCTACTAGAGTTGATTCAAATTGTTAGTACTCAACAGGAATTTTACACCGCGCTTACTTTACCGATTTAGGCAAAATCTGCTTGTCTTGTGGTATTTCCGTGAGGTCAAATCAACACCTGGCGCCATGGCCTTAAAAGGTCGTTCAGTTTCACATTAAGGCTAGTCTTATTGCCCTGGGCCAAATCCGTTCTGATAAAGGCAGCAAAGTATTAAAATCCTGGTATTCGTGGCCTAATGAAGCAGTGTCATTCAAATGCCCTACACACGATGACAGGGTTTCGAATATCTCCCCGCCTCCCCCCCCCCCCCCCCCCCACCCCCGAGTCTTGGCAAATTCTCTCAAGAATTTCAAGTGGAAATATCGATTTTTTAAATTGAGGGAGGATGGGAGCTAGATTAGCAATACAGGAGGCCTTGGGTTTGAAGTTTGCCTTTCTAATTCACCATGACCACCTCACAGCAGATTGTCGTGAGAACACAGTCAACTTGGAGACACTCTAGCGTCTATGGTACTTCTGTTCGAACTGGCCGATTGAAATTCAACAGAGCGTAAAACTCCTGAGTAGATACTATCCAATAATTAGGGATCACTTGCGTCGATCAAGATTTCAAGCCCAGAGATAAGAAAATGATGGAAGTGGTTCGGGGAATGCTTGTTCAACCTGGAAATGAGTACTGATGTGAAAACTATTTTTCCCTGTTATGTATTCATCATCTCTGAGAAGACAGCAAACTCCTATTTTGCCATAATTTAATTTTTTCCCAATTTAATAGCCAGGTTTAGTAAGTTACCAAGAGTGTCTAAATTTCTACCTTAACTTTTTTATATAATGGGCAAATTATTTTCGACATTAGATTAAATTTGTCATTCCGCCCTTCTAATTATGCAACAGAAATTGGAATATGCAATTGTCATACAACTTCTCCACAATAGCCAGACATTGCAATGCCTATCTCTCTACACGTCGCGTTTCATATTTGGTAGTTGCAATTTATAAAAGGCGAAAAGAAAAGATTATCATTAGTGTCTTCTAAGAATTTAGTCTAATTCTACCCGTATTTGTCCCGGGGGGGAGTGGGGGGGGGGGGGTGTGAGAGGACGTTTAGTCCGCCACTCTTTCCCTCTCCCTTCACGATTTTAGTAAATTCAATCTCCTGTTTCATCATATTCATCAAAGGAATCCGATTTCTTCTCCACAATTTCGGTTATTCTGTTGTAGATGGCACGCTAATTAACTTAGCTAATAAGATTAGAGGTGTGAATTTGGTCTAATGAATCAATTTTACTTGCTTCTCTCTCTCTCTCGCAATTGATTTGGTTCCTAATCGGATGGTTTGCTACCGTTCTGTTCATTCTTGTAAATAATCTGTCCTTTTTTCGTTTAACTAAAATGGATCTAATATTGTTCCCCTCCCTTTCTGCATAAAATTCATATTTTACCCCCTTCGGTGTGCTTCAATTAATACAATTTTTGTTTTAATCTCCGCTTCTTTTATTGTTTGAATGCGTCCAAAAGTTAAAGCGAAATTTGAAAGGTTGTTCGCTACAAGCAATGAATTTCTCATGAATGGCAGCAATTTAATGTACTGAAAATGCCATCAAACGCCTGATTTAAGTATTAAAAAATCTAATTTAATTTAAATTTTAACTGGATAGTGACATTTGCAAAGATTTGTACCTCCTTAGCTATCCGTAAACTAAATTTGAAGCATGTAAATGTTAAGTGAATTAAATGCAAAACAATTGCTTTCGAGGTAATTAAACAATCGGCAATTGGTGGAATAGATTCAATGTAATTCCAAAAAGTACTATCTAAAATAAAGTAAATGTTAAGTGCTTTAAATCAATAGATCGTTATTTGATCCTTTATCGATTTTGCTTTGCTTAGTTAATAATTGGAAGCTTGGCTTCCGGTGGAGCAGCTGAGCGAAGTGGACAAATGCGCGCCGGTGATCGATTGGTGTCAGTGAATGGAGTACGGGTCTTCGGTGGTACTCATGCCAGGGCTCTTGAACTCCTGGAACGAGCCACAGAAACCCATGGAGAAGTCACGCTAGGTCTCTGGCGACCTTCACCTTCCCTTCCAAATTCCAATTCTACAGTAAGTACTTCCAATGGCATAGCACTAACAAACTTTTAAATCTGACACTGAGTTAGACTAATAGCATACAATAATCTTTACGTAATCAGAAAATCGATATTGATTAATGACGGGAGGAAGTGATGAAGAGAGAGAGAGATTTGTGGAAAGAACAACTTGGTTACATGATTTTATGCAAAGACGATAACAAGGTGTGTTTGGAATCGTCGTCTCATATTGGCCGCAATTAATTACAGAAAACTTCAGCCAGTACCCAATGGTTATTAGAAATCACTGGCAGAAATTCTCCAACCCAAGCTTAGTAACAAATGGGAAGAATATTATTCTCTAACTTCTTATATTTTCATATCAACTTGTGTCCAATTTGCTAGTATTTAACCGCCAAATGCACAGTAACGGCAGCGTGATAATAATTTGACCAAAATTGTTTCCTTAAATCCCAGTCTCGCAAGTTAAGCCGTTTAGCAAATAGTAATTAGGAGGGAGTTCATTAATCATTTACTAATCTAATTTTCACTAGCTTTGGTAGAAATGGGTTGCGCACAGCCGTCACTTAATTACAGACAATTAGGAAAATTTTCTCGCATCGTTGACTAGTAATTAAGGAATGACTTAGCAAGATTCCTTGGCTTTATTATTAATTGCATTGTATTAATTTTTTGTCAAATGGAATTTCTGATAGATTAATTCTATATCAAATAATTTATTTCAAATGGCGGGCTTTATGATACTTATGATTAGCCCTTTAGCCGACTTCGGGCTTCACAGAGGGGAGGAGCATCAAAGTGAGATAAAGTGGAGAGGGTGGGAGGGGGGGGGAACAGAAGAGAAAGTCATAGAGGCAAAAGAGACAGACAGACACAAAGGTAGA